GGGTCTCACCATGCTAAAAAGGTCTAGTAATCTAGCATAATAGCCCGTAGCTCAAAGCTTTTCCTTTCCATGGTAAAGGTTTCCGTTCTGAATTTTCTAGGATGGTGCTGCTCAAAACGACCTATCCATTAGAACAATTAGGAACTGCTGGGAACAATTCTTGTCCCCCCTTCAAACCCCTGTCAATAGCCCATGGCCACTAGTACGCTGGTGCATATTAAACGACATTGTAATTTCGTCGAACGAGCTAGACAGGGCCTTCATTTCAATGAGAAGAAGGAAAAAAAAAAAATTTATGTTGCAGGCACAGACCATAGCCGCAAGATTTGCAGATGACCCAGCAACGAGTTAGGTAAGGACTGGGAGTTCATGCAGAAGTAAAAAATGAATAACCTAGTTAGATTGGATGTATTGTTGTTGTAGCATATAAAATCTCTTATATCCTAATATCCTAGGTATCAAGTATATCGGTTAGTCTGATATCAGTTATTAGTCTGAGATAATGGTAGCACAAACACGGTACATCGAATAATAATAGAATAACAACAATAATAATAGGACAAGATTAGTGCAGATGAAATTATTGAATAAGATTGGTCAAAGAGTTATTACATTATATGTAAAAACGTGTACCGTAAGAATGGCGTAAGGTCTATCTACAAAAATGAAATAACAATATTGAATAACAAACGGTCTATCGTTATTACCTACTCAACTTTAGGTCACACTCCTTTTTTTTTTCGTCCCTTTCTTTCTTAGAACAGGGCAGGGGACACAGGGGATAACGGCGGCAACTGCCAATCACTGCTAATGCACTGATGTGGGTCATCTGTTTTCGCTCAACACAACCCGCGACCCGCCTAGACCCACCGTAATAATCCCTGTTGAACGGCTACCGTGCACGACTTGTAGAGAAATACTGTACCAGGTACATCCAGGAGTCGAAATCGTACTCCATCGTACTCCTGATTTTGCGCTTGGCCTACCTGGTCTCTGCTACAGTAACAGTCACTGTACTTTGTCACTAAGAGACTGTGCTCCCTTCCCATGTCACTCTTCTTTCCCATTAATCACGAGACAAATAAATAAAGCCCGGCAGAAGCAGCTGTGCTTCCATTCGACTTTTCCCTTCCCACCCTTCCTGTCGTACTCGACTTCAAATACAAGTTTCGTTGTTCTTCCACTTCCATTTCAAGCACCTCCAAAGAACACTCCCCCGCGAGACAACGAAGTGTCATTTAATACTACTACTCTATCCAACGAGTAGTTTCTCCATTATTTAATTTCCCCTTTCTAGTGATACCCATATTCTTGATACCCAAATTAGTTTTTCCTTTTAGACAACATTCAAAATGGCAGAGGAACAGAAGCCCGTTGAAGTCGCCGAGACTACCCCCGTCGTCGTTGAGCCCGTAGCTGAGACGAAGCCTGTCGAGGACAAGCCCGTCGAGACCGCGCCTGTCGCCGAGGCTGCCACTGAGGCACCTGCTGAGGCTACCGAGACAACTGAGGCTGCCGCTCCTACTGAGGAGGCTAAGAAGGAGGAAGTGAAGCCTGTTGAGGCTGGTACCCTAGAGCATAAGGGTGCTCCCGCCAACTTCCCCAAGTATGTTGCGATTATTTTCAAATGATGAAAAGACATCTCAGCTAACCTAACTTAGGAACCTCATCTACTCTAAGCAGCACTTCTGGTTCGGTACCGATGCCATTCCCAAGGAGAAGCTCGCTACATATCTCAAGAATGAGAAGGCTACCGACGTTGCCCACCACGTCACTGCCTGGGCTGCCGAAACTGGAAAGGGTCTTTTCTTCTACGGCAAGGAGAGCGATAAGAGCACCCCGACCGGCGCTATCCAACTGGTATGCTCGATTAATGCGACACGATTAAAGGTACATAATACTAACTACTATATAGGCTGAGGCTTCTGAGCCTGCCGTTGAGGGCGCTACCAAGTTCTCTTTCACCGCTAAGGGTCACAAGCACGCATTCAAGGCGCCCACTGCCGCCGACCGTGATAACTGGGTTGAGCAATTGAAGCTTAAGATTGCCGAAGCTAAGGAACTTGCCGCCACTATCGCTGAGACTGAGGCGTACAAGCAGACTATTGAGAGCTTGAAGCCTACCAAGGAGGAGAAGCCTGCTGAGGCCGAGCCCGCAAAGGAGGAAGCTAAAGAGGAGCCTAAGGAAGAGGACAAGAAGGAAGAACCCAAGGAGGAGGAAGCCAAGAAGGAGGACGGTAAGGACTCCAAGCGCCGATCTGCCAGCCGAAAGCGCGCTTCCATCTTCGGCAACCTTCTCGGCAAGAAGGAGGAGGCCAAGAAGGAGACCCCCGCCGAAGACAAGACCGCTGAGGACAAGCCTGCCGAGACCACCGAGGCTGCTGAGCCCGTTCCTGAGGTCGCTGCCGTTGCCACTGAGACTCCGGCCGTTGAGACCCCTGCTGCCGAAGAGACTAAGAAGGAGGAGCCTGTCAAGCCTACTCCTACCAAGCGTGCTAGGTATGTTTTCTCCCTTGTCCTATGAATGTTATGATCCTAACCTTTTATAGCCTTTTCGGTGGTCTTTCTTTCGGAAAGAAGAAGGTTGAGTCCGAGTCTGCTCCTGCGACTCCTGCTAAGGACGCTCCCGTCGACGCCTCAGTTGCCGAGACTGCTCCCGTGATCCCTGCCGTCGAGACTTCTGAGCCCCTCTCGACAGAGGTTGCCTCTCCTGCTACTGTCCCCACTGAGACAACTGATATCACTCCCGCCACCAACGGTGAGACTAAGGAGAAGACCGAGAAGCGCAAGTCTTCTCTTCCCTTCGGCTTCGGCAAGAAGGAGAAGGCTGCTACCTCTGACGAGGAAGGCGAGAAAGTCAAGTCTCCTCCCTTTTTCTCCAAGCTCCGCCAGACCGTCAAGGGTAAGGGTAAGGCTGAGAAGCCTGCTGATGAGTCCAAGGCTGAGGACGCCAAGCCCGCTGATGTAGCTGAGGAGACCGAGCCTGCCAAGGAGGCTGAGGCTGAACCTGCTGTCGCTCCCATCGCTGAGGAGACCGCAGAGAAGCCTGCTGCCGCTACCCCGGCTCCTGTCACCGCTGCCGCATAGAGTGCGCGCCGCTTCGGCCTACGGGTCAATATTTAATGTTTTCGTAAAGTGTATCCACGACACTGGGTTTGGTCGGGAACGGATCTGCATTTCAAGATACCCTACGAGACTGGTTTCTACTGATACCCCCATCTATTGTCGGCGATTGGCGGGCATACTCTCTGTTAGTCGGAACAGGGAGTGCGCTACATTGACGCAAGGATGGCATCCATGATCTTTATACTGACGCTTTTTGCATGTCTTGTCTCAATTTGCGAGGAGAACTGCTTTTGTTTTGACACATCTTTTCCTAATACTCAACTGATACCCAGTATACCCCCTGTCATTTGGTTGATGCGGATCAGAAAATACCTGCGAAACAGCACACAAATGTTTCATCTTTTACAGTGACGGAGTGGGCGGAATATGTTGCGACGAAGCTGCTTGATATTTGAAGCATGCGATGTCCTCCATACGGATTAGATGTCGAGTGTTGTGTTATGCCACGTAGGGTGTGCACTTTGCCGGCTGAAGCATTCTCTTAATAGCTAATAGATACTCATGTGTTCAGTGTTGCTAGTCTTTTGCTTGTATTTTTTTGTGATTGAAGTCTTGTCCTGTTATTAGATCGTTAGCAGTCTTAGTTCTTCGAGCTCCCGATAGTGAATCATTAGCATCAATGTGAACCACTTGTTCTTTTATTAAATTGTTATTATTATCTTTGTGACACCAATGGCCGTAAAATTGTTGTGCTGTAGTACATATATGAGGGTTTAACTTTTATCCCCGACATATAGTCTCTTAACCGTAAGTTCACTCATGACAACTTCTAACCGTAGCAATAAGAGTCAAGTTTCCCCATGGATAGTAATTATATCTAAAGAAGTAAACTGGACTTGTAGATGTAGCTGCTGTGTGTGCTATTAGATGGTTTGCGGTTATTGTTTGTAGTCAGTATAGGTGAAGAACATCCCAGTGGCATGGGTCTACGTATGATGATGCTTTTCTTTCTCTGCAGGTACAATTATGTAGATGTAGTTTAATGCAGCCATGCTTCATTATTTGGTTGTTGATGAAACTCTCCTACTTCCGTTGTTTCTAGTACTGTGCCTATAGCTTGTAAACCTTCAAGCAAGCAGAGTCCTAGCTAGAATTTCAACGTTGGTGTGAGTTACCTAGCTATATAAAGTGTATATTTATGTCTCGGTTGTCCTATGCTTCTCTAAACTGTGTAACCTGTTATTAAATCCCATACCAAAATCCCCGAATCGCCAAGTCGAAGCATTGGTGACTCATGTTAATAGGAGTTGAGCTACTGAGAGCTCCTAAGTTATTATCAGTGGAAATTTATATATTTACCTAATGCTAGTTGTATATAGTTTACTGGTTTATAATATTTAGTAGCAAGCTTCAACTTGGGGTTTATTAGTTATTATCGTTGCTAATATTTCGTTGAGAGTCACGCTTTGCATTGGTGAACTTACTGTTTAGATGCACGGTGTCCAGATCATAGGCATAGTCATATTCTCGGAACGTGCGTCAGGGGAAGAGTCAGGTCCCAAGATGAGGGCATAGTGTTATCTCGTAGCAATCGTTGCCATGTAGACTGTAAATCTACGTCACGAAAACCTTGAATCAATTACCTTTGAAATCAACTCCAATCATCTTTCCCTTTCGTCTGAAATGCCATGGATGCTCATTTCTTAATAAAATCATTTGGCAATCAAACTTATCTACACGTGTAAAACAGTCACAGTACGCGTATTCATAACTGTTCTGCATGTTTGCTCAAGGGCCCGGAAACTTGTATATATAAAACTTTTTGTATTCTTCTACTTTTCTTCTCTCCTAACCTTCTCCTACATAATTCCCAGGGACCAAAACAACAGAAGTTGCATTTTAACCAAGCAACAACAAACTTATCGCCCAACATAATGCAATCCAATCATCAACAAAGCAATAACCAGCACCCGCCATCGGGCTGGATCAACGAACGGATTCGACGCAGAGGCTCTCATATTCCTGCCAGACAAGCTGGACCCCGTCGCTCGATCCCCGCGATGGCATATGACAGTGATCTTGGGAGGAGATCAAGCCTCGAGGAATTTGACACAGGAAATTTCCTAGATCCCCGAAGGTTTAGCGGGACGTACGATCACACTGGCTCCGGTTGGCACACCACCTTCAGGGCTACCAGGCCAGAAGAGTCGGATATCTTGGACAGTTCCATCAATGAACGGCCGACTAGGGATTTCCCCAGCCACGTCCTTGATATCGAGCCCCTGAGAACCAGCGCCATTCCTGATCCAGAAGAGATCGCTCGGTTCGAGTCGTCTATATTTGACCCGAATCGCTCCTCTCCTTGGTCAACCGAGTTCAGCGACGTCCGCGAATCCTCTAGGCCACATACGCCAGATATGCCTATTGATGATGTGACATACCGGCTAGAATACTCGCCAGAAAGGACTCCGACGCCTGATGCGTCTGGCGTATTTTACCCGTCAGGCCACCTCAGCGGACGTTGGCATCGGCACAATCGGTTCTGCCAACCTCTCCTGCCGAACCACCCTACTATATCCAGCGGCACGACCATGCTTCCCTCGGAAAGAGATAGGCCCGCTGGTGAAGCATTAGACCGGCTAAACAGAGCCTATCCGTCTATTGAAGGAACCTCTGCCCACCCTAGAATATCTAGCCCGTCTAGTGTTAATAGCTCTGGGTCCGTATATCCCGGGCTTAGCATTCCCGTCATGACTCCCACATCCAACGCGTCTGACATTGCTACCGACGCTAGCGCCTTGCGGGTTAATGCGGTGCCCGAACAGACCGGGAATCGGATCGATGAGTGGAGCATGGGCAACGGAAGCTCTGGTACCAATGGTGAAGGTGGTGCTGGACTGAATGGCAGTGGTGGTCCCGCGCCTATCCCTATCACCATCTCGATGTGTATCGAGTTTGATGATACCGTGTTTGATATACAGGGTTGTAACGTTACGACGAGGCCGCGAAGTAGGCGGGTCTGAGAAGACATAGGGGGAACAAAGAGCGTGAAAACCAAAGGAGATTCAGGGGAAGCGAAAAAGAAAAAGAGCATGTGATATTGGATAAGTGATCTTATCTGATTTAGGGCGTGGACTTTTGATACATGTATAAAAATAGGGGGGGGCATGAACATATTGAGGATCATAAATAATAGCATTTAATTATTTCATCCAAGTTTCTTCTTGTGGATATGTAAAGTACCCAATGGAGAGAGACAAATGATAGCAGCTTGACCAGCCTCGGGTACTATTGTGATCTTCAATGACAAAACCATGTTTCTCTAAGAACCGGATACTCTAAACTTAGGGGAGCCATTCCGTTCTATGACAAAATGCAGTGTATGTACAGTTTTAGCGCTAGATAGAGATTTACATCGTTACCTTTCTTATACACATGAGTAATGCAATGCATATTACGATTACATTATTATCAACATTATAACACAGTCGTAACCCCCTCCCCGTCTCTACTATGTATCTAATGCATTTTTGAAATTCTCAACCATGTAGTATCAGTTCCAAAACAAGCGTACGGTTACGAGACCTAAACCAAGATACACATACCCCCTCCTTACACCCGCAACAGCCGACGCACCCGAAGGCGTCGACGTAGGCTCGCTTAGGCCTTCGCTACTCTGCGCCGCCGTCCCCGTCGACGCCGTAGTTCGCTGCTCCGAGCTCGAGGCCTCAGTAGACAACACCTCCGAAGCACTCCCCGTCGTCGTCGTAGTCGTAGTCGTGCTCGGCGAGACAATCGTAAACCCAAACTCGTCCGTCGTATCCGGCGGCAGCGTCGTGATATCCGGCGCCGGCAGCGTGACCTGCGTGGTGCCGACGCCGACGGTGTACGCCCAGAAGCAAGTCGGGGTCTCGGTGGGGATGTAATCGCCGACGGTGCCCTGGCCGTAGCTAGCGCTGGTGTAGGTGACGAGGAACGGCGCCGCGTTGTCGGTGTTGGTGCCGGCGATGCTGGCCAGGGGCGTCGGCGCGCCGGCCGAGCACCCCGTGTACGCGGTCGGCAGGGGGTGCACGCCGCCCTGCTGGGGCGCGCCGCCCAGCCCGCAGCAGATCATGTCGGCGAGGTCTATCGAGTTGTTCTTGCCGCGCCCGATGTCGTGCCAGATGTCCTTCGCCGTGTTGAGGATGTCCCCGTCGCAGCAGAACGTCTGGAAGTTGCTCGCTTTCCACCCGGGCTCGGTGGCCGCGCATTCGTACCGCGAGCCGTTGAAGTGCGTCGGCGCGCTTAGACACCATTCGGTGATTAGGCCCGTAGGGATCGCGGTTGTGATCGACGACATGGTTGCGTTGCGTTGCGTTGCGTTGTGCGTCTTTTTCTGCTTCCGTGGATGACTACTTGGTGCCTGATGGCTACGTGATAGGAGGCGCAAAACGCGGCTGCAGGAGCGTGATGGATAGACGAAGAGGTAATAGGAGCAAAGCAATATGAGAAAAAGTCAGAGACTACCTACCTACCAGGCACCATCGTCGAAATCCACCGCGGTCTTTAGCTCCTGCTAATCTCGGTTCGCCACCCGAATTCGAGCCTCAAAACCCGAGACTCCATAGTAAAATCACCAGCACAATCGGCCCACGACCCGGGATAATGGCATATTGTATTATCCCGATGGCATCTACATAATTCCATGTACGTGAGGTACACGGGGAGTTTTTCCACTTCGTAGGATCATGCGCGCTGGATTATGTATGTACATACAACAGATCCATCCCACTTGTGGCGAGAGAGGCGGAAATTGATGAAGGAAGCAAGGATCGCCCTCTGTTCTAGATCGTCGACCCCTGCAGCACGACGCGTCAATCCGGGGTAAGTAGGACCTGCATAAGCGAAGATGAGCTTGCGATGACTTCCAACCAATTCTCCTTGCTGTCGCTTCCTATACTCATATATATAGATATAACGATTCCCTTACTCTGTCAAGATCCACGAGCCATGCATCAAGCTCAAGGCCTAGCCTAGTGGCTCTATTAAGTCCCTCATGAAGAGGCATTTTTTCTAGAGCAAAAAGGAACTAACATGTCTATGTAGTATTGGGCTGACTGACATGGCCTTGGTCCTCGTACGATTAGCTACTACGGGGCTCGCTGGGTAGCAATTCTCCCAACGGGCATGTCGGTAGAGAACTAGTTTTCTTACTGGATCTGTAGGGGGCATGATGAAGAAAAAAAAGCTTCAACTTACCTATATTGGGATAACTATACATTCCTCTAGTTACTATGAATTCCAATAGTACGAATTAGAGATCATAAGCGCGCTCCAAGTCTATTTCCGAGAAACGTTGGGGATGTCAAGTTGGAATATACCTTCTTGAACGCACATTCTGTAAGGTTATTTACCTATAGTTATAGGTATATACGAAGTTGCTATATTCTATTAATCGGGCGTACCTTTGCATCTTTCGCTACGTACACAACTTAGATAGAAGTGCGTGAGGTTGAGGACTTCTAGGTCTTGTGTCGCTCTATGCCTCGCAAGAGTAGGTGAGATAGTTAGTAGCAAAGCGAGTAACTATATACTGTACCTAAATCTTTGTATTGATCCTTCTTAGATATCGTATTGGTTGATATTCGTGGTCTGGTTAATACCTTACTATGTATATTAGAACTGGAATATGCTTTATGCCCACTTCACTTAGGTTTATAAGATGCGCGAATTTAGCCAAGACGCGCATACTATATTTTATTATATTGAATTGGATTCCCCCTTGAGAAAGACTTTCCTGTAACATGTAGATCTCAAGTCACTACTGTGAGAACCTACTGTGTAGTACCTCATGCTTTTGGACGATGCTTCTCGTAGTCGTCTCTCTTGTAACCCTTGTAATCTCCCCCAAAGACCAATAAGAAAGGGCGGCAGATATAAGTAAGTATACCTACCTAATATTCTGGCTACCACGATTGATGTCATAAGAGACCCTTAAACAGGCTTACCATATTTCTATAAATAGTATCGTCAACAGTTAAGATATATTAGTTAGAGATATTATATTTTATTCTACTTCATATTAAGTATGCAGTAATAGTCGAAATAGGGGGTAGTAACACCTACTATTACCAAGTTTTAATGGTTGACTGACACCCCGCGGTGGCTAGAGAAGTAAAGTAATCCGTGACCCTGTCGTCATCGCTGATAACGGCAAGTATCTCAATGGATGTCCGCGATGCCATATAAATGAAGAACTACCCAAAAGGTGCCTGAGCACCACGCGGACGTACAAGTGATGCGTTAGTGAAAGTAATATTATCGTATAGGTAAAATGAAGCCATTCACCTTGAAGTATGTGGTTGCAAAGATGCAGTCAAGGTAGGACAAGATCTAGGATGTGGAAGACTAGAAGGTGACAGTAGTAATTGGACACGGCTCTTGATTCGCGCTCGTGTATCTGGAATGCTCTGAAGCACGTGAATATTAACTATTGGATTGGACACTTGAATTCTCAGACAAGTTACTTGTATCCAAGTACAAGTTCTACTTCAAGCTCACATGTATAGGGGTGACATTACCATTTTCGAAAAAAACTTGTATAACGACGAGCTTCACGAGCGAACTCACCTATCATCTTGTAGCACAACAACCTTGGAACACGAGAACTGAATAGTGATTAACTTTGATACCGTGATGATATTGGTGAGCACCTTTTGTGATAGGTAATTTCAGCTGACATGCTGACATCGAGATAATGTGATACGCAGAGCGATACTTGCGGCAGTTGAATGTAAGCAGGCAGACTATTGAGATTAGGATGGATTACGGAATTATGACTCTCTATGAGCAAATCATGTTAAAACAGAAATTCAGTGCCACCCTGTGTTATTCGTATTCCATTAACGCCATGGCCATGCAACCTCAAACCAGCTTTCGCGGAGGCCTCCCCACTTGTGATTAACGGTTGCGCTGAAGTACTGTAGCAACCCAACAGCGCGTTCTATCCAGCCCAACTATCCAATAAAGTCCGAGAGGCATCTAACATTAGATTTAGAATGATAGAATTTGTGTGAATTATTGTCGTCCTCTTTCGTGTATTTTGGGAATGAAACCTTTTTTTTTTGTGACGCGGAAACAGGGAATGCCAGAGTAGGTGATACGCGGAATCTATTCCTCTTCATCGTGTTCGACGAGAGTGATCATGGGTTTGTCACCCAACAGCGCCTTGCCCTTGAGATTCGTAATTTCAATCATGAAGAGGTAACCCATGACTTTAGCATCCGAGAGCTCCACGAGTTGGCCTGCTGCAGCAGCAGTTCCTCCTGAGTTACCCAGTCAGTTGAGAGGACAGGCCGAAACGGCGGAGTAAACAAGAAAGTCACGCTAGAATGCAAAACTGGATGATGCTTCTTTGTCGTTGAAACGGGCAGGTTTCTCCCTGGCCAGTACTTTTATACCACCTAGTGGAGATACTTATTACCGGTATAATTGGAGCTGACTTCTAGCCTCATGTCTGACATCTGTCCTTGTAATGGCTAGTTATGAGCAAAACTTCGGGCATAGCAGTACTGTCGATCGCCGCCATTATTTCCCTAGCTTGTACTCATACTAGACATTAAGTGATGCAGTAGACGACTGAGAGGAACTCCAAAATTGTCCGTGTGTCCATTGAAAGGTAATAGGTAGAAGAGCGGGAGTATATTTGAAACAGGGACGGATAGGCTAGGGCAGACGAAATCAAGGCTAGTGAGGGCGAAATTATAATATGATATGACACTGAGAGGCCCAAGCAACCTAGCAGAAAGCACGAGTGACAGGTAGATGCAAAGCACTCAACTTACCAGTAGCAATGATATCGTCCACGATCAAGACATTTTGTCCGGGCTTGATAGCATCGATTTGTACCTGAAATTCGTCTGATCCATATTCTTTTTTGTACTCAACTGTTCTGCATGCGCCTGGCATCTTGCCCTTCTTCCGGACTGGGACGAATGGGCGGTTGAGCCTCAATGCAAGTGAGGGCCCAAAGAGGAAACCGCGTGCTTCTAGACCCACTATGACATCTGGTATCTGGTCGCCGTATCGTTCTCGTATTAGGAGGGCAAGTACTTCGAGGAGAGACTCAAATGCCACAGGGTTCTGGAATATCGGGAGGATATCGATGAAGTTTATACCGGGAATAGGGAAGTCAGGTACGAATCTTAGGGCGTCGATCACCAATTTTTTAGCAGTCTCTAGCTTCTCCTGCTCGTGCGCGAGCAGAGCGTTTACCGATTTACCGGCGAGTTCGGTGGTACCGGTGGCGGAGGAGGCGGGCTCTCGTCGCGAGGCATCAGGTGCAGCAGTTGGAGTGATGCTTGGCTGATCTGGGTTGGCTGCCACGGGATCAACGGGGATGTTGGAAGTGGCTAGACCGCTCATGCTGAGGAGGAGGAAAGAAGGAGAAGAAGAGAAGACGGCGAGGAGTGAAGGGCAAGGTAGGCGATATGTGTACCTTTGGGGGGGAGAGAAGATAATGCGTGAAAATTTTTTGGGGGTGTGGCACAGTGGAAGGTCCAGGAGGGGAGTCGAAAGACGAATGGGATAGGCAGACAAGGCAAAAGCCAAGTCAGACAAACAGGCAAAGAGACAAGGCCGCCTCAGAAGTGGCCGCGGAGGAATGCGCAGGGGGCGGGATGGGGATGGAAATAGAGGTGTAAGGTAGCCTGCTTGCCTGCTTGCCGCAACCCGGGTGGTAGATAATAATAACAACAACAATAACAACTTCTGTCCTTGGTTAGAAGGGTCTGTGAGTTTGTGAGATGTATGTACAATGCGTGTGTACAAGTACAGGGGTGGACGAGTAAGAATTAAGAGAAGAAAAGGGTTAACCAAAGACGTGTGTGTGACTGTCGTTGGATAAGAAAGACGGAAACTTAAGACAGCGAGTTTCTAAGAGGAAGTGGAGTGGTTGACACAGAGTGGGATGAAGCTGAGGTGAATCATATTTTTTTTTTTTCTCTTCGAAACAATTTTTTTTCTTTGGAGGGGTAAACCTTCTAGTTGCGGTGCCTACTTCTTCGTACCAGAGTACCAGGTTCTACTTACATCTGATAGGGACAACATTACTTTCTTTGGTACCTGAGTGAGTACAGAAACATCAAAGACCCCACCGACAACCTAGCTGGACCCTAAGGCAGGTTTAAAGTACCTAACAAGGTAGCTTAAAGCATAACCCACTTACCAAAATGGGTAAGCTATACCTAGGTAGCTGGAAGGGTAGGATAAAGAACAGGATACATGCAGCTGTAGTTAGTTCCAAGTTGCCATCTACAATACGTAAACCAGATAATCGGTGAAGTGAAAAATAAAAATAAA